TCGAATAGTTTTTAACGGTCTCTTTTTTTAGAATAGGAAGTTGTTTAGATCTAAATTATTTAGCTTTCATTTTTAAGTTCTAATTTATTAGTGAAGAACATTTACGGGTTCAAATAATCAGGGTTTCAATTAAAATAAGAGAAAAATTAAAAATTGGTATTTTAATTATCTGTTAGGACCCCCTCCCCCTAAAAAAGCCTATTTTTAATAAAACCCAGATTATTAAGTCCTAAATAAGTCTACCTCAAATTCTTACAAGCGCAATAAATCATAACGTCACGTTAGGTTATAACAAAACTATGACGTCATAAATGGTTCACTAACGACGGTAGCGATCTTGGACTAGGATGGCGCTGAGTTGGCAGCAAAACAATGGCCCTGCCTGCGGAGCGATGTACGAAACATGCAGCTCCTTCCTGCCCCCGATCAAACGACACCAGTTGACATCGTTTGATACTGAAGAAGAACCAAAGGTTCCCTCAAGATCGTTCCCACTAGATCCAGTGGGGCCACACAGACTCCTTGAACTCGATAGGCCTCCTGCACTGGGCCTTGGGACATACGACTTGGAAACAGACATGTAAGAGGAAAAAATATTTATTCAGATTTATTAAGGGGCAACTTTATTTGTAATAAAATTAATCGTTTTTGCCGTTTTGTAATCAGGGCTTAGATTGCCGGTGAGTTGATGCCAGGAAAACACAACAATCCGCTGTAAACAATAAATCGTTATCAGTTGCAGTAAAAAAAGGACAATAATAAAAAAAGAAAAAATTAAAATAAAATGATTCGAAACATAGTATGGAAACTTGTATGGTTGAAAAATAATAAATATCAGTTTGGTAAAATTCAATCCCCCCCCCCTCCCATAAAATAGATTAAAGAAAACCCTTGGAAACGCATTTTGGTTGTTCTTAATAAATGAGTGGAATGTAAGCTTGCAATTGAGCATCAAGACACAAATTACGACAACAAAAATAAAATCCATGTTCACAGAAACAAATAAATCTCCCACTTTGCCTTTCGGTGAGTTCGTTTTCTTTTTTAAATTCAGCAACAGGGAAATTGCATTCATTTCGCTTTATAGAGAACAGAAAACAAGGAGCTCATCATTATGCCTATAACCCAGTCCCGTCTTTGTGCTTAACATACTTTGTGTACCATATTTTTATTATTTTTACAGATCATTCCTTTTTTTTTTTTTTTTTTTTTTTTTTTTTTTTTTTTTTTTCAAACTCTGAATTTCTCATCTGAAAGATTGTCTAATGAGGAAGGGGAAGTATGTCAAGAATATCAAGTATCTATAAGGCTACGTTGTATTCATATGAGAACTCTAAATGCATGCTGTATATGTGTTATGACAAACCGAGTGAATTTTTGCTGGAGAGGATTAAAATTTCTGAACACGGTAGTTGAAAGAAGAGTCCATTTATATTATTTGTTACAGATCACAGACCTATTTTTCATACATATTGAATATATTGTGCGTCTGTTTTCCAGAAATTCAAACGATTCAATCGTGAGTGCCCTGCCGCCGAAAGAGCTTACAAACAGTCTTCACGAGAAGCGGGACAAAAAGCGTGTGCGAAAAGGGAGTTCCCGAGCTCCTTCCTGCCGTCGTCCTCACAGCAGACAAAAGAGGCCGCCACCAGTCAAGGTAACACCCAAAGTGATCGACGCTTTGATCCACGCCAAAAGATGGACCACGGATTCAAAAGAAGCTGCCAAAGAAGTGGCTACCATGCCTGTGAAAGTAAGTGTTTTCCTTTCGGCTTTTTTTTTTTTTTATTAATTTTTCAGTGTTAATAGGGCATAGTTTATTTTAGGACATACTACGGAGTACATCCTATTATTTTCAAAATTTAGTTTGTACTAAAAAGACATAAGATAAATATAGAATTCTGTTGATATGATAAAAATCAATAAATCTGGCAGGCCCCCATATAGCATAATGTGCACAGCACACAAAGATTGGCAATATAGATGTTAGAAAATTAAAAGTGGGGATTTATTGTGACGAAGTTCTCTATTAGAGCCGAATCTGATCGCATTTCGATGTTTTCCAAATGCCTGATGCCTGATGCGTTTCACACTTACAGAATTCATTCAAGCCACTTAATCCAAACGGAATCTTAGATGAATTTTATAATTTCGTTTACCGCAAACAAAATTCATTCTTTCTCTCTCGGTCGCTAACCACTATGAGCCTTTGCGCCTGGCCCCGAATTTGTTTTAAACATAATCATATAATGTTAATTAATCTAAATTTCGTTTTATTTCATACATTTGCATATTGCCTCCCATGCCTTAAAACAATGATTATGACTCTTTGCTCATAAGTCTTGATTAACTATATAATAATTATGTATTGCGCTGAAATCAAATAAGAAGAAATATGCAATAGCGAAACAGGCACAGGGGAAAATATTATTTTAATTTTTCAGACCGACTTTCCTATGACATCAGTGTTCGACAATGCCGACGTGGTGAAATACCGCCCACAGCGCTATGAGAGGAAAGCGCACAGCTTTCAACGGGTGTCTCTGGCTTGGGACCGGGTCCAGCTCCGACCTCCCCTGGGTCAGACCCGGGTGGAACCCACCGTACCCACAGGGGAAAAGGTCTCCTTTAAACGGTATGCATATTGCTCTGATCTCTCGAAGCCGACAGAAGCTCGTAAAAAAAATTGTACGCGACTGAATGTAAAACAATATTAGTTAAAAATTTTTCGTGGACCTTAGCCATGTTATGTGCTAACAGTTTATACCACTTCCGTAAGCGACGGTGGAGTGCGTTTGTTCGCTGAAGGAAAATAACCGACATTTCTCGAAAACTGCGGGTGATTTAAAGTGATCTTAAATAGCCATATTTGAATTTTCATCATGTGTATTGTTTCTTTTATTGCCAAGATATGTCATATCATAATGACCTCTATCTAAGATTTCAATATTAATACCCTACCTCCCATTTTAACTGATTTATTTGATTTTCATTTCTATTCAATATATAACTTTTAATATATCACTGACGTATTTTTATAGGACCGGCAGTGCGCAGCAGCGAATCCTAAACAAAATAGAAGAGCTGATGCGATCCGAAAAACTTGCATCAACGTAGTATGTGCAGTGCCTTCTAACTAAATGAAAACTGCCTGTTTCTCAGTGACGGTAGACTTTAAAAAATAAATAAATAAAATCGATCCTATTGCTGGTATCTGTCAGTTATAGTGTAAGTTAAATCTCTATATCACAAATTCACCTTCTTTACAGAAGGAACATGGGAGCTTTTTTATACAGTAGTCTTACGGCGATGAAGTTACTTAAATTTGATGGATTCAAATTAATTAAGCGTTAATGTGTTTCCATTGTTTCAGCGTTCGTCAGTGCCCTGGTTACGCTGGGTACGTGCCACGTGAACCTATTGAAGCCCCTCTTGAAGCACCAAGCTTGTTACCTTCCATGATGACAACAGCCAGAACGAGCTACAGGTCTCTCTCTCCAGAAAGTTAATTAAATTGGGTTATTTGGATTATGTTGTGTTTATTACAAATCTCTCTCACACGTACTGTATCATCTCTCTCTCTCTCTCTCAGCAGGAGGACAGATGAATGGCGACATTTATCAATATTCCATATATTGTTTATCTCTGATCAACGCAAATCACATTTTGTCTAAAATTCCTCTCTGCTTCATTCCAGGCTTTTCCCCAAGGACACCTACAAGATGCCACAAAACCCACACATGGGACCTTTATCCAAGACGGTGACTCTTACCTACCCACACAACCCATTCAATAAAGTGGAAAGACGCACGCGACACCTGAAACCTTTTATTGGAGATAGTGCCACCTGGCGAAACTAAGTCTGTAATTCTTCTGAAAGTACTTTTAACCACGTACTTTTGTACTTGGGCTCGTAAATGAAGAAGATAAAGCAATGCTCTTTGTTATATGCAATCAATGACCTGTAAAAACTGTATAAGTATACAATCTTCGATTTTTTGTTTGTTTACATGCAGTAGGCACTATAATTGACTTCAATGAAATCATTAAGAAATGCAGTCTCGCGTTAATTCCAATAAGATATCATTTTAGTTTAGAGTATGATAGATTCTATATAATGGTATTCAATTACCTGTACCAAATGCAAGGTTATAACATTTCTGAAATTTTAAGAAGCACATCTTAATATGAATGACATAATGTAAAATAAAATAACTTCAGAAATGTTTCGTCTCCGAAGACTGTTGAAGATCCTGTTAATGGTTTTTACGGTATGACAAGTTTTAATTCAATATAAGGTATTCGAACGATATTGAATTTGGCGAATAGGAGGGCGAAAATAAATATAATCATTATGATAGTTTAATTCATTTTGCGTTTCTTCAATGTCTTGAAAAGATCAGTTTAAGGGGGTTATTAAGTTAATTAATATGGAGACAAGTGTTTTTTATAAAAAATGGGGAAATATTATGTCATTTCAATTTTGTGGGAATAACGATTTGAAACAAACTGACAACCACCGTTGGAGAACACCGAGCATAAATCAAAGACTTTATAAACGCGTTTGAAAATGTTCATAAGTCACATCCTTTTTATTTCTAGAGCCTAAGGCAAACTTGTGAAACAGAATCGAGGAAAATAAACGATAAAATACAAATAAAATAGTCTCTATTGGTAAATGGTGACTTAATGACATTCTTTTAAAACACCTGAAGGATTTTGATCTTATTTTTACCCGATTCAATAACCAATCAAGGAGGTGGCAGGTGACAGTAGAGCGAAGTTGTGAAAGAAAATTACACTAAAGTTAATCAGAAAGATTTCCATTTGACGTACATACCTGTTGTTAATACCTGTGAGCATTATTGTAAGATGCGTAACTGCCACAAGGAGATTATGTGTCTCCACAGAAGAGAGGTCTCAGTCCAAATAGTCGACAGCGGCTTATCTTGACTGACGGAGTTCTTGTGCTGCTGGAGATTTACTCTGAACGATAAACAGAAAAATGTTCCGGCGGAAACTTCGACTGCTTCAAAGTATTTGGACATTCTGTCGACGTAATCAACAATCAAGACAGCAAATTAGAAAAATATTTACGAAGCAGGTAAGCATTCATTCTTATTGCTACTTGTTTGGTTAACAATTGGCTTTATGGGTTAACTTGGATGCACCATCTCGTCATTAAAGTTTCGGTGACACTGACACCTTGCGTTGAATGGAATTGACACTTTTATCAGTTAAGGCCTATCAGGGTTCACGCACTGCTTTTTGTTATCAAATAATGCTTTATGGGTTAACTTGGATGCACCATCTCGTCATTAAAGTTTCGGTGACACTGACACCTTGCGTTGAATGGAATTGACACTTTTATCAGTTAAGGCCTATCAGGGTTCACGCACTTTTTGTTATCAAATAATGCTAGGGACTTTGGAGTACAGATTAACGTATTTGGCTGTGAATAAACCGGTTGAAGTTTTAAGTTATCTCATTTAGATCGATGTAATTTTCTCAAGAAATCAATTTAAATAGGGGGGCAAAAGTTGCTTAAGTTGATTTTCAAGTTCTAAATTATGTCTCAGATGCTTAAGATTTGTCACACAATACTTTTAGGAGGTGGGCATGAAGAAGCAGTTTAAATTTTGGTTATAGGATTTTTCCAAGTACTTTTTTAATCACCAGCTTTTTGGGATTTTTCCAAGCAGAATAGTCACTGTTATATAGTTTTTAGTTTAAAAGTTTGTTCTTAATTTCTATGTCTGTGTCTAGTCTCTAGCTTTTTGGTATTTTTCCAGGTAGAATAATCACTTATAAAAAAGTTTTCAGTTTAAAAGTTTGTTCTTAATTTCTTTTTCGATGTTCCCTACATCATCAAAACATTAACCCAGTAATAGTGCAAGCTGTCCTTAGTTCTCTTTGCATTAAATGAAAAGCAGGGTGTATAATAAAAATGGATAAAATCTTGTGGGACACATTTTATGGCTGTTTGCAAAAACCAACAGCTAGTGCCACTTTCAGCTTTTTAAAAGTATAACTGTATAAAAGTATGAACTGTAACATTTTCCTGAGGGATTATCTGTATTGGCTCACCCTGTTTAGATGTCTTTATATTTTTAAGTAGATGTCAAATTTGTGACATCTTTAAAATTCAGAATGGCTTATGTTGGGAATGGATTATGATTAAGCAAAAAATGGTGTTCCAGGAGGGTTAAACAGCAGTAAAAAAATTATGTTAAATTTATACATTGCCTTAAGTGAATGGAAAGTGTTAATTTTTCATTATGTAAATTTTACTGGGAATCAGTACCACATATACAAGCATTCAACTCTTTCAAGGCATTCCTAGTTTTCATGAATACCTACCTTTCTCGGTATCAACATTCAGACTGTTGTAATATGACAGATGTCTACACAAGATATCTTCATTTAATATTATCTGTGAGATATGTATAATCTTTAATATTTTTCCTAGTTTCTGCCATCTGCATCAAGATGGCTGCTTTTACCTGGGGCTGTGGTTACCATGAGAGGGTTTACATTTGGAATGAGGCCCTCAGAGAAAGAACCTGAAGGTAAGCTTATTATAAGTTACATTCATGAAAGATGGGTTCTCAATTTTATAAAAATATTTATAATAAGACTGATGTAATATTCAATTGTGTCAAATCATTAAATGTCACAAGGTAATAGCAAACATTTAAGAATGTATTCAAATGAAAAGTGTTCTTGATATTGTGATTCTTTTTCTTTGTGAACATGTTTAGTAATCTTTTGAATTTTTGTATTAACTTTAGTATTAGTGGTTGAGACTACTAGTAATGAATTTCACTTTAAGATAAAATTAGAAACAGAGAACTCTAAAAGAGGTTCATTTATATCTGATAATTTTCTCAACGTTTATGGATAGAATATATAAAATGTTAGTGACATTATGGAATGGAGATTTGTTGAAATTTAAGTAAGTTTAATTTTATCTTAATAAACATCTAATAATACATGAGAAAAGAAAGCGCCAAAATTGTTAATGAACCACTTTCCAATATCGGCTCATTGGTCAGTGCTTCATTTCCGCTCTGTGATCTGTTTTTCTCCTCCACACTGAAAAAACCTGACAGTCTTTAAGACCACGTTTGTATGATTCAGCCACATCTGCCTCCAAAAGCCCTGAAGAGAAGATAATTGAACAGGCTGATGAGTTATTCGATAAATCTGACACTCTGGCATTATACGACTACCTAATCCAATACAAAGACAGCTCGAATGATGAGCTCTTATGGAGACTGGCACGAGCAGCCACAGACAAAGGAAAATTACTGAAGGATCCTGCTAAGAGGGATTATTACTATGAAGCTTTTAAATATGCCAAAATGGCACTGGAGAAAAATCCTAACAATTTTGCCTGTCATAAGGTAAGGTGAAAAGGAATTATTTTATAATCTGGTATTAGTCTTGTTATCTGTAGGAGGCACTGTGTAGGTAAACCAGCAGGTTTTTTTTATATTCTGTGTTATACTTATGGATGCTAGGACACTAGTATGTGCATATGTGCATCTTGTTTTGACTAAGAATAAATTGTCACTGCCTGCCATCAAACTTGTACTGTTATATGAATTTTTTTATTCTTTTGAGGTTATATTTATGTCTTTACAACATTTGTATCCATGGGCAAAAATCATTGAATTAACCTATTTGAAAGTTAATATATGCATGAAGAACATGTAACCCCAGGTTTTATCATTATTATAGCAATTTGGAATATTGAAATTAGTTCTTCATTTAATTGTTTAGATGCTTACTATAGATGTTATATTTTCCCCATTTGAGCTGCTCATTTGAATTGAAAGGGAAAGGAATTTGTATATGACCATGGCCAAAAATTCCCATTAGGTTTAACTTAAACTAGAAATAAGCTAATTGATATCACCAAACATCGATATTGCTTAAACAAGTACTAATAGTTTCTCGTTTTGTAAATACAACCCATGTGTATTGTAACAGTTTAAAAATTTTAATCCCTTCAACAAGATGGCAATGAAAAATATATATAGTTCTTGTGTGGGTTGTCAGTTGTGGTAGGTTTTATCAGTGTGATATGACTTTAATATTGTCATCGATATTAGCAATTGAGATGAGTCAGCAGCTTGCACAGCAAGTCCTTGTAGATTAATAGGAATTTCAGATTCCATTCAAGAAAAATGTCCAGCAAGCTGTTAGTATTGATTTTTTTTCATGTGACACAGAGACAGTTAACTTGTATTCCCATGGTATATATGCCAGGTTCTTATGGCTGAACTGCATAAAAAAGGGGGCCAGGGAAACACTTTTGTACATGACAAAGGCAAAAAGTTGATATGGATTTCAGCAGTGACCATTTTAGTAAAAAAAGTTTTTTCAGTAAATATACCCCTCTGCTTTTGTTATTTATTACATTGGTAGAATATATGTACAGCTAGATTTGAAGACAAAAAAAGATTGTGCCACAGTTATATATAGATTAAATTTTTTTATTCAAGTGGTATGCCATATTGTTAGACTACACAGGAGAATATGAAGGCACGAAGCAGAGGATAGCAAATGCATATGAAGTGAAAGAGCACTTTTTAGTAAGTAGAGATCTCCATGGTCACACTAACATTATATTCTTACTAGAGGACTTTTTACATCAGGTGTGATATATAAGTATTCTGCTCATAGCATAATAGTTAGAGAGGTTCTGCATTGCCACAGGGTTTTATAAGTTTGATTTTTGCTGTTTGGAAGGTAATTCCCATTGAAAACATCGGCCTTCGTAGATCGATCCAAATCTGTGGGACTCTCACTGAATGCACTCAATTTTACAGAATAACACGTTTCCTCCTGGCATTAGTTGCGTTAAAGAAAAGCTGGTACTAGTAATTATACGAGTATGCTGTAGAGGAGGTATGTTTGTATGTTAATCATTAAATCTGATTGCACTGATTGAATGTCCCTGCAAAGTTGGATAGATCTATGTAAAAATATTCTTGGGAATGAGCCTAAAGATAAGTATGATATCACTGATCTAATATGAGAAGTACACACAAAAACAACAAAAAATGCTTAACTTCATACTATGTGTAAACTAGTCAAGAGTATAAATATTACACTTTTGAAAATGGCATAATATCAGATTTTTCTACTTTGCAGAAAGCAGTAGAATTAAACCCAAAAGATGCCACTTCAGTCCACTCCCTAGGTTACTGGTGAGTAGAACCTTGAATTGAGGAGAGTTACTGCAGTCTGGATCAAAAATAAAAATGAAGAAAAATAAAGAAATACACAAATATATTATGCTGAAATTTTCTCCATTTTGCAGGTGTTTTTTGTTTGCTGACCTACCTTGGTATCAACAGAAAATTGCTTCAGTCATATTTACCACTCCGCCCACTTCTACTTATGAGGAGGTAGGTCAGGCTCTTTGTTCAGTGGCCATGTATTAACAAAGTACCTAGAAGTGGGATTTAATGTAAACATTTTAGGTAGTAATTCAAAATGCAGTTTAACATGGAAATAAAATTACATTTCAAATGAAAAAAAAAAGAAAGAAAGAAAGTCAATGTTATAAGCTTGTCACTATATTCATTACTGTCATGTACTGTAGTTTCTTGCAGTTTTAAGAAATCGTACCCATAGATTGTAATGTTAGATTAAAATGTTATTTGTGTGTATGAAAACGTCATTCTTTGCCTTTAAAGTAACAGTACCTAAAACTGATATAGAATTTATCACGTTTTTTTTTTTTTTTCTGTCCTAGGCCTTGAAGTTTTTCCTGGAGGCTGAAAGAAGTAAGTTAAGGTCTTAGGTCTCCTCTTTTCCAGGACACGGTATAAGGTTCAGGCCTTTCCCTTCCAAACTTAAAATGAGAAGTAATATAAAATACTTAAAATTGGACCATTATAAAAATGAAAAAGTAGTTTATTTCTCAGAGAAGAATTTCATCAGCTGTGTTATGTTATAAAAGTAAAGTAATTTTTCTTCAATCAAGAGCTTAATGTTGAAACATTTTACCTCCAATATTTTGATGTCTAACAGAACATCTTCATCAGGGAATATAAAGCTGTTGACAAAATTACTATATTTTTGTAATTCATTTCTGAATTTAAATAAAAAGATGTGAAAAATAAATAAAACAGAAAAGGTTTTGGGTAAACAGGAAGGGAAGATTTACAAAAAAAAAAAAAAAATTGAAATCTTGGGCCTGACATTGCAAAATGCTATAGTTTTGTCATCAATATATTAAAGAAAAAAATACATACAACAGAGGATGAAATAAGATTAGATGAAATAAAGAACACTTACATATTATTTGTAAGCATAGCATTACAATGAGGACACAAATGATTTTAATTGTTATGTTCATGTGGTGCATGTGCTAGTGCAAGCACAATTTTTTTGTGACTTTACGACCCCATTATCATAAGAATACAGATGTATAAAATGAAAACACAATAAGGTCAATACACAAAATACCAGCACTAAAATTAACACAGGGCAAACTCATAGAACTCCAGTAGTTAAATGTTATTTTAAACTGTATATGATACATGGTGACTACAGTATGTGTCAGTTGGTTAAGTCCAGAATTCTTTTCACTTCAACAATTTCCACCAGCTTTGTTATTGAATTAAGCCATGCTGACAATCACTGACATGGGGCGTTCTGTTTAATTTTGTTGATTTAACATATTGGTATATTGGTACCAGTTTTAGCTGTGTGTGAGATAATACACTATCCCCAGAAGGATATGCATATGTATGCCAGAATGCCTCGAGCAACAATGAAAAAAGATATTCAAAGTGTATATTGCGAGAGGGTGGCAGTGTTCTATTTGACATACTCACAGAGAGAAAATACTCCCATTTCACCAAAAAAAAACACACCAAACCCGAATAAATTGTATATTGCTACAGTTTTATAACATCTTTAGATATGTATAGGTTTTATGGTACAGTTATGTACAATTAATCTGTTAAACTTTTTTTTTTTTTTTCAGTTGATCCTGGTTTCTACAGTATGAATACAATGATGTTAGGAAAGACCTATGTTAGACTCAAGGAAAATGCCAGGGCTATCTACCACCTGAAGAAGGTCAAAAGTTTTCCAGTTAAAACTGTTGATGATGAAAAGGTAAGTCTGTTTGATTTTCTAAAGACAAATTTAAATTTATTATACAATAATATTTTGTGGCGTAATTTATTCAGATTTTGAGAAATAGCATCTTAATTTAAGGCTGAAGCATTTTTAATTTGCCTTCTCCATTGCCTTCTCTTTGTGAAGTTCCATACAGGGGCAATCCAACTGTGCTCAGCTCATCAAGCTGTTTTAGATCATAAGCACAAAATAACTACAGAGCCAAACATTTTTGTTGAAATTCTGAGCATGATTAAAGTAAAGATTCAGATTTATTTATTGATATTCACCTCGACAAACAAGGTGCAATCATGGACAAAGACAACTGACTACACACTAAGTTACATAAATAAATAAATAAATAAATAGATAAATAGATATTATTTCTGTTTCTTAGGCACACAAGGAGGCAGCTGAACTTCTGCGTGGGCTAGGAGTACATGACCATGATTAAAGCAACTAGTGATGACCACAACTTGGACCAGTTACCAACTTCATGGAGGGTGTAAACATGATATGTATTTAACAGTACTTCAATCATTTCTGGACATTTCTGACACATTATTTCTGAGCATCCCTGAGACGTAATTCCTGAGACACCATTTATGGACAATCCTGAGACACCATTTCTGGACAATCCTGAGACACCATTTCAGGACATTCGAGCGACATAATTTTCAGCATCCCACAGACACCATTTCAGGAAATCCCTGGGACGTCATTTCTGGACATTCCTGCTTCCTTTGCATTCCATAGGTACCATTTTAGGCATTCTTGTGATGAGACATCACTTCTTTGGGCATTCTGAGATGGACTTTTTACTAAATGTAGAAGAGTTAGTCAATCCATGTTTTTAAGATAGTATTTGATCATTCCAGTTTAGAAAGATAGTAATGATGAACTATGGCTCATGGTGAAGTAGGTAAGCCAATGTCAATGGTTCAACACTCAGAATGAGAACCCAGCATTTTTCAAAATTTTTGATTAAAAATAATTTCTGGTATTTTCATATCTGATCAGGCTTAGCAGGTACTTTGCTCTGTTATAGGTCGCATTCAGAACAGATGATCCGTGGACTAACTGATCCACCGACTAAATATGGCCAACCCCACTTTAAAGTAAACCGCTTAATCCCCTGATATCCGACAGCAGATTAACTTTGATGCAGTAATTCGAAATATAAACTTTCACTGTGATAATGTCTAGTTAAGTGAAAAAAAAGAACAGTAGAACAAAATCTTACTATTGAAAATTATTACAATAATTTCTCTCTTAATTTGAAAAGACTCATTTTCCCCCTCAAAACAATATTTTTTCAGTGATATGAGTATGTAAAAAAGATGATTCAAAATTTCTGAAAGCCAGTTGGGTACATACAGAAAGCATTTTTTTAATAACTGAAATAGATAAATCTTTGGGGTAAAAAAAGAAAATATTGGATAAGACTGGTTGAAATTTATGAGCAGTCACAGCACTAGTACAGGGCAAGAAAAGTAAAAATACAACGAAAATTTTGCATCAATTTTTACTCATTCCCTAGGTTAAAAAAAACATTGCATAAATTAATACTGGAGCGTACATTTTCAGCTAATGTAGTATTTAATAAAACCACTGGGGATAACTGTTTTGGTATTAAATCAATAAAACCAATAAAGATAGTGGTTGTGGCATCAAAATCATATCATTTGGCTGACAGTTTTTTTTGTCACTGAAATTACATTCTGTCACTATGAATAATAGAGAGGGTTTAAAGCTTACCAATCTCATTCAGACATGTGGCATAATATAATTTATTTACAAAAATTATAGCAAGTGATACATGACTATATTTATCATACTGTAGTAGAAGTGTGTAAAAATTAAAATCAATGTATTTATGTTACTTACAAAATCAGAGGTCCAGTACACATAAGGCCCTTGTTTCACATGGAGCAGCATACTTTAGTGATACAGTCTTTGTGAGTCTTTGAGAGGTTCTTAGGGCCTGTTCAGAACATATTGATCTGCGAACTTACTAGTCCTGGATCAAATATGGTGCAACCCATTTTAATGAATGCCCAGATTTAATTGCTTAGTCCCTGAAGGGACAGTGCATGTAGGAGACGGGGAATTCATTGTCAAGTGTGCTGCATATTTGATCTGTGAACTTAATCAAGTGGTTCTGAACAGTCCCTTACATGTTATTATACAACACCTTTCACAAGTTCTCCACAAGTTGATTTCCTGCTAGTAATTAATTTACAGTGACAGTAGTGGAAGTACCATTTAAGCAACTCTCTATTAATCAGGTTATTATGTTGTCCATCTCTAAAGGAGCACTGGTACAGACTTTATTGCTAAAGTGTTCCCCTCGATGTGAAAAAGGCCTTGATTGTTTATTAACAGTTACTTCATATACCAGTATGCACCTCTGTTTTGTGTTTACCGCACCAAGCACAAAAATGCATACATTGGTTATGTGGATTTTGTTTCCGTGGATGGGTATATGACATAGATAACAAGTCTTTGAACGGCTTGTTTAACTTCAGTCAAATGCTACTTAAGTTAATACATGACAAGCAGGCAGGTAATGGAATTTTAAAGGTGAAGAAATTGGACTACATGAGCTCTTATCTCTGGCCATTGAGAAAAAGCAGCATTAAATGAAACATATCATTTTCTTTGGGTTAATTTTTAAACATACATACTGTACTAGAATAGTCAAGTATATAAAAACGCGGTAAAGAAGAAAAAGCTGTAATCATTTGGACTGACAGAAAAAAGAATAATAATTTATACTTTTCAACTTAGATATTGAACAAAAATGATGTGATTTATTTCACATTGATCTCAGTATTATGTTATACCCTCTTGCAAAGTGTGAGCATTGTCCCTTTCTACAAATTTGGACTTAAAATCTTTCTAAAACTGACTTTGTTTCTGATGAGCATGTTAAGAAAAACATGGTGGTAAAGAGGGGGTAAAAAGCCTTGGTCCGCATTCAGAACAGCAGACAAACAGATCCGCAGATCACATATGACAACCAGCTTAAAAGCTTGTTGCTTAATTCACAACTACACGCTGAATAGATTCCCGCGGGATAACGCAACAAGCATTCAAGTAGGTTGGCCATATTTAATCTGCAGGTGTCTTCATCTGCTGTCCTGAATGCACTTTTGGTTAGGCTGGTCAATAGTCATATGAACAAATCTATATCAAATTGTCTTAATGGCCAAACCTGTCTTACTAAGAGATGTCATCAAAATGTTTTCCAATGGTAAAGCTAGACAGCAATTTGCCTGCTTCATCTAAGATAGTATCTACCTCATTCTCAGAGCTGACATGCTCCATCTTTGCAGGAGGGTGTCAAAACCAGCAGTTACCAAAGACAGGCCCTGGTTTCACAACTTAATTGCCAAGGTTACTTGGTCACATGGGCAAATCTTACCCTATCAGATGCAGTGTAACAGCTAGCACTCTCATAGAAATCTTAAGAATTTTTGTGAAACTGGGGCCAGGTCTCTGCTACCAAGTCTTTCACCATGTAAACTAGTTGACATATAGGTGTACAGACTGTAAACATTATGTAGTTGCTGAAGATAGATGTATTTGTAAATGGCTCTTGCTTGTTGAGTGTGCATTCCTGTAGCTAGCACAAGGTAGACAAGGCACTTGCCAATACACGCTAATGACTCGACCTTTTCAATGCACAAAAATCATCAAACTTTCAGATACATGATTATAAATTATAATCTCAAAATTATATTGATATGAAGCATTTCTGTGGCATTTTTACTGCATAGAAATGAACTATAGAGTAGCCCGCCTTTTAATGTTGTTGTTTCCACTCAGTAGGGATGTTCTAATGATAAAAAGCTATGACATAAAAATACAAATTTACCTCTATTGGAAAGATTGAGTAATTATTATACGTGAATATATGTACTTGGCATCATTAATAATGCATTGATCAGAAAAGTATTAGTTTGTTCTTCACATATATATACAGTAATTATTAATTGACAACTTTAAATTGTTTGCATTGATTATGTTATGGAGCATTGTGATAAATACAGAAAAAGACAAAGAATGAATAATGCTTATATATAATTTCTGTTTGCAGTTTTGGGATAGTTTTGTAGCATGCTGCTATAGTTTATGTACATCAATATTTGTCTTTTCTTTTACAGAACACGTGTCTATGGTAGTATTTTGCTCAAGTTGTTTGGTAGAACAGCAAATACTCAAGGGAAACGAAGCAATGGATTTTTTTTGATAAATATAAGAATTACATTTACCTTTAAATAATATATAAGTTTAAGTATGTTTTGCTGTTGCCTGTAAAAAGGTTTGATATTTAATTGTCTTAGGAAGAATTCAAAGCTGATTATTGCAGTGATTCTTTTTTTTTTAAGTACGGTAATGTGCCATGAATTTCGAACAGTAGAAAATAATTAAATTTGGGAAAAGATCGTTCTGGCCGAAATTCATGAAATGGAGGTTCTCAGAACTTCCGAAAGTACGAATTTCATGAAATTCTGTCAATTTTGACCGGAAGTTGTCTGTTCGTCGCTAGGCCTTCTGTTATCTTCTCCCGACGATCTATTTAGAGTTACCATAATGTATGATGTGTGAGTGTCGGTAATTGCGACCAAAGGTATACACGTACTTTCACCCGATCACTGTGTATGGCCCATAGATAGAGCGGTACTGTTGTCTAGGGCCGCAAAACAGCATCGTTATCAGTAGTGTCGTTTTTCAAAAGCGATTCTGGCAGCCAGAAACTAGTGTCGTTTTTCAAAAAACGATCCTGGCGCTCAGAACGGGAGTGGACGGAGGGAGAGACGGCTGACGTTTAGCG